TGCACCGGCTGCCCAGGCTCACGACCCCCTGCGTGTCCCCCGCGTGGGGCCTGACGGCGGGAGGAGGCGAGGCCGCGGACAGGTGATTCTGGGAACCCTGGCAAAGAGCGACTTTCTTTCTTTTCTTTGTTTTTTCCTCCCTTGATTGGCCTGTTTGCCTTGGGCCGCTTAGCTTTGAACTCGGGAAAACCTCTAACCTCATTCGCAGTGGAGAGCGAGCAATCGGGGCGCTACTGTGTCCAGGCGAGGCCTTGGGCTTTGCTGTTTCTACCTGTCGTCTCCTACAATCCCGTGGTGGGTGTTGTTACCCCGTTTTATAGATTAGCCAGCGGTTCTCAACCTGTGGGTCGCGACCCCTTTGGCGGTCGAACGACCCTTTCGCAGGGGTCGCCTAAGACCATCCTGCATATCAGATATTTCCATGACGATTCATCACAGTAGCAACATGACAGTGATGAAGTAGCAACGAAAATAATTTTATGGTTGGGTCACAACGTGAGGAACTGTATTTAAAGGGCCAGAAGGTTGAGAACCACTGGATTAGACCAAGAGTTTGCATAACGGAGTCTAAATCTTTCTCCCACAACAGGAAACCATCTGAAAGGCGGGCACCCCTTGGTTAATCGAGATGCCACGGTGGTATCAACAGTAACCAATTACAAAGGAAAAAAATAAATTAAAAAAAACTCGGACCCAGAAACGACTGAAGCACAGTATCTAAGAATATTTATTGGTAAGTGATAGGTGTTCGAAGATGACCCAGCTTCTGTTATTGCCTTCACAAATGAAGTGCTGGCTAGCTGTACATTCACGGAGACGTTCGTTCTATACAGATATAGGTAGCTTTGTGTTACCCAAATGCAAATTTAATTTGGTTTTGAAATCCCGAAAGTAGAACCTTGAGCTAAATGATAACTTCCCCCACGTGTTTTTCTTTAAGAAAGCTCTTGGCTTTTTTTTTTTTAATATTTTTTTTTATTGATTTCAGAGAGGAAGGGAGAGAGCTAGAGAGATAGAAACATCAATAATGAGAGAGGAACATTGATTGGCTGCCTCCTGCACGTCCCCGACTGGGGGGAGTCGAGCCCACAACCCCGGGCATGTGCCCTTGGCCAGCATCGAACCTGGGACCCTTTGGTCCGCAGGCTGACGCTCTATCCACTGAGCCAAACTGGCCAGGGCCCCCCACGTGTTTTCAATGTTACAAACTTAGATGATACATGGACTCAAGTCTGTGTGGGGAATAAGGCCAAGGTAGAAAGTGGACATATGCACACCTCAGTACCCGCTGTCCTCCCTCAGTGTGGGTTCTGGGGCTGCTGGCCATTCCTCGCTGAAGAGCAGCAAGCCGTCTTCCTCAAGGGCTCTTCAATTACAGTAACATTGATGCCTGAACTTGCATCTTTAAACACATATTTCAGGGGTTGGGAGCTTCTGGGACCATATCTTTAATGCAGCCTTTCTTATAATAGTCTTTTCACTTCCTCTTACCAAGCAGTGTCAAAAAATCATTTGCTCTTCATGGAGAGTCAAAGAAATGCAAAACAGAGTGGACCGGTAAAAAATACTGGTTACTCAAGTAGGACCTTTGTTCGTGTGTTAAAATGTAAGCAATATTTTTTTAGCCCTTCATAATTCTCACTCCTACCAGACTTCACTAACTGGAAAGAAAAGCACCTTCCAACAGTGAAGCAGACCTGGTTAGAGACACTAATTATTTTAAATGTAACGAGAATACTTTCTAGACCAGCAAATTCTTCAAAACACACTGGTTAAAACCCGAGGACTAAAAGTTAGGTGATTTTTGCCTGGCTGGCGTGCCTCAGTGGTTGAGCATCAACCTGTGAACCAGGAGGTCACCATTCAATTCCTGGTCAGAGCACATGCCGGGTTGCAGGCTTGATCCCCAGTAGGGGGGTGTGCAGGAGACAGCCAATCCATGATTCTCTCTCATCTTTGATGTTTCTACCTCTTTCCCTCTACCTTCCTATCTGAAATCAATAAAAATATATTAAAAATTAGGTGACTTTTATTTTTTAATATTTTTATTGATTTCAGAGAGTAAAGGAGAGGGAGAGAGAGAGAGGGAGAGAGAAATCAATGAGAGAAAATCATTGATCGGCTGCCTCCTGCACGCCCCCTACTGGGGATCGAGCCTGCAACCGGGGCATGTGCCCTGACCAGGAATCAAACCCAGGACCCTTCAGTCCGCAGGCCGGCGCTCTACCCACTGAGCCGCACAGGCTAGGCCAGCAAGAGGGATTTTAATTTCAGGCTTTTTCCTTCATAAGCAGCCTCACTGCAGAGCACCTGTCAGCCAC